CTTTGAACCACTCCCATGCCTCGTGAAAGGTTTCTCCCACGTTTTGGCTAAAGCTAGCAATTTGGGTCCGGAGGTCGGTGGTCTTTTGGTGCGAGTAGTACTTTCCCATGAATTTCTCATAAACGGCTTCCCACGTGTTGAGCGAGTTTGGAAGCAAGGTCATGAACCAATTCTTGGCTCGATCTTTCAAGGTATATGAGAAGCATCTCATTCAAAGTTGGTTCTCAGTTAGGCCTTGGAGTGGAAATGTTTTGACAGTTGCATAGAAGTCTCGAATGAAATTGAGGGCATCCTCTTGGGCGAGGCCATAGAATGACGGAAGTTGGTTTAGATGGATGATCTTAAGGTTGTAGTTTCGAGCTGCCTCCCCGAGCACGAGGCACGAGGTTTTGTCTCCAATGATAGGTCGTGCAAAGTACCTCATGTTCGGGGGAGGTGGTGGTGGCAATTCCTCTCCTTGTCCCGCCATTGATTCGGTTTCGGGTTCCGGTTGTGGTTCTTCAATGTTGAGCTCAACGAAAAAGTCGATCGATGGTGTCTCCTCTACGGGTGCACACCTTCGTCTACCTCGCAAAAACACAAACAACAACTATACCCGTGAATGCACCAATGTGAAACAAAGGAAAACGCAAGCAACAAACACAAATTACCTAGAAAATCAAGAGAAACAAAGAGAAATAAAGAGAAATACGACAATTAAGCAAAAAGCACAAAAATCAAGAGAAACACACGAAAAAGGAACAATCAAATAGCAAATTAGGCGTCCTACTTGCCTTCCCCAGCAACGGCGCCATTTGTCTAGTAAAATGTTGGTGTGGGTAAAGGATAACCGAGTTACCGGACTCGGGTCGATCTCGAAGGAAGGCTATTCGGAGCTTTACTTACTATTCGGTTGCTCAAATAACAAAAAGGAGAAAATAAAGCCTAAACATTCTAATCAATTTGGGTTGAGATGATATCGAACTAGTAACAACTAAAGAAAGCGAGTAAACGAGCAATAAGGCAAGTAAACGAACTATGAAATCCTAGCAACCAAACCGGTGAACAAAGTCAAGAGCAACAAAAGAGAAAATAAGAGAAACAAACTCCATTTAGCATGCTTAAGAGCCAAAACCGAAATCCTACTACGAAATAACCGAGCTAAACATCAAGTCACGATTTTTCAAGTAGCAATCAACACTTCAACCAACTCCAAGCATAACAAACGAGCTCAAAAAAGTAAAGGAAACGAAAAGAACTAAAATAGCTACTTAAAATCCAATAAACGAGCAAGCCCTAATTACTTCTACGCACGAGATAGCAAGTAAGTACGAAAATTGGGATCACAAGGCTTAAAAGTAAGTACTCACATCCCTAACGCATGCTTGATCGAAATCGAAAGAAAAAGATAAGAACTTTGCATAAACCGAGAGTCACTGGAAAATATAATAAGCATCCACAACTTACTCTAGAGAGAAATAAAAACTTAAGCTAAGAACCAAAAAAGGAAAAGTTAATAATGAGCTAGATAATCCCAAAATGCAAAGGCTCAAAAGTATTTATACTCCATCATAAAACACACACTAGAAAAAGCAGATTAAATAACACACTCTCGACCTCGCCATGAAATTCGCGAGCACGCGGTCGATGGCGTGCACGGGGGCGGGCAGGAAGTGAAGCTCTCGACTTCGCAGTGGAGTCCGCGACTCACGGCGTGTGGCAGGCGCTGAATTCGGGCTACTCTCGATGTCGCGGATCTCTGGCGAGCGCGCGGCATGGTAGAACGGGGCTCTCGACGTCGCGGAAGCTGGGACGAGTTCACGAGTTGGCGGCGATGGCAAGCGTGAAGCTCTTGACCTCGCGGCTCTCTCGGCGAGCTCGCGAGTGTGCTGGGCGACGACATGCGAGACTCTCGATGTCGCGGGCGTATGCGCGAGCTCGCGAGTGTGCGAGGTGCTGCGGCACGGCTGGACAACTTTCGGCACGAAGTCAACTAAGGCTCGGAACTCTCGGAGGTGAAAACGTCTCGTACTAAATGGCTCATAACTTCTCGTAAACTCGACTTCTTCGGGAAATGCTCGTCGCTCGGAATGTGGCTCGACTCTCTCGGAATATGGCTCGACTATCTCTCTCTCTCTCTCTCTATCCTCGGAATAAACCTGAAATTATACCAAAAGCACGAAAAAAGTACGTCAAAATATAAAATAAACAAGAAAAACATAAAAACACACGATAAACGACAAAATGGACCGGTCGACACTAAGATAAACCTAAAATCGACACGAAAGCACACAAAAACACATAAAAATACGCACAAAAACACAATAACCATAACACACACCCCACACAGTACACGCTCGCGCGCGCACACACACACACACACACACACACTCGTCGGTCCCCCGCCACCAGCCACCGCTAGCGTCGCCACTTTCAGCCTACCATCGCCTTCCTCAACAGTGACACTATGCGAAAATATGTTGCATAACATAAAATATGCGACGTTGGATTTGGATATGCGATTGCGAAAAGTTCTCGCATATGGTAAATTATCTAGTGGATTTGGATATGTGAGTCGTAAACTATGCGACAATATATTGCATAATCATAAAACATGCAGCGTTCGATTTGGATACACGATTGCATAATATGTATCAGTGTTTCACATACTTGTTAAGTATGCATCCAATTCGAATATGCGAGACATAAAAATGCGAAAACTTGTAACTTAATCGTAAAATATGCGTCTATCAGTTTGGATATGCGATAATTTTATACGCGAAATAAATTTGAATAACACAAATTATGCGGTGGATTTGGATATGCGATTAATTAATATGCGAATGTGTTTCGTGGAACTGTTTATTATGCGTCTGATTTGGATATGTGTTAGTATATATATGACAAATCTCGCACGTCATTTGGAATGTGATTTTTATATCACATATAGTATCGTGAGTTGTGGTGTGAAAAGAAGATGATACTATATAAGAAAATGCTATAATATATAATAACAATTAGTAATAACTATAAAAAATGTATAAAGTAATAAAAACTTATCATATTGAACTAAAAATGCATTTGAGCGGGAAAATGTTGGGGGTTTTTTATTAAATGTCAGACCAACAACTAAATATATAGATATGATCCGAGGTGCCGGGCCGAGCAACAGATCCGTCTTTTTATAATTTTTTTAATTATCCGGGCCGTTGTAGATCAACAATCAAAAAATTTGACCATTGTAAATCAACTGTCAATTTTTTTATTTTTTTTTTTCAATTTTTGTAGAACGGGTACCGAGTCAGGTTCGGCCCATCGAGTCGTGTACCTGACACGTACCTAGGTACAGACCGGTTCATGGTCGGTTCCCCGGCCGAAATTGTGTCATGTGTAGTTTGAACCAATGGCTGCGATTGTGAAGTAGATTGCCCCCAAACAAACTCCGTCCACACCAACACCACCTTTTTTCCACTGCGCGCAACATTGTAAGTAAAATTGGCGACTACATACATATACAACATGAGCGGCTGTCAGAGATTCAGGCCCATTTTGCTCTGTCTACTGTTCTTTATCTTCAACAGCACTCTGAAGACGAAGTAGAATTTGAGGTTCTCTTTTATTCTGAACCGCCATGGCCTCTACACTTGCATACTCAAACTTTCTTTTCTCGGTGTGAAGATCAAACTCTATTCCTCGTCATTTACACAGGAATTTGTCATTTTGTCTTTTTTTTTTAATTGATTGTTCGATTTTGTGAGTGTGCTGTTTCTTTTACTCTTTTCAGGGACCTCAGAAAAGGCCTACACATGACAACAGATTTTCTCCCCAAAGTTCTACTTCATCGAGTATTGATTTTTTCTTTTTTTTTTTCCTTTTTTTTTTCCAGTTTGTTTCTTGATTATGAAATGTGGGTTAAGGGGCTTAATTATCCTGTGTGGTTGGTTTTTTAAGGGCTTTATTTACTATATTCCATGTTATTCTGATTGCTGATATGGCTTTGGTGAATGACATTTTCTGTTGAAGTAGATGCCACTGCTTGAGTTTCCATTAGATGCTTATGCAAAGCATAGGTTAGAAAAGGTTTCCACCAATTAATTTCAAATCCAAGATATTTCGGTATGTGGAACGAGTGTGTAGCAGTCAATTGAATCTTAAGCATGCGACTTAATTTTGCCGTTTATTGTAAGATACATGCCTCGCCGTTATGCTTAAGTGAAACTAGTTTTGTCTTAATTTGCTTGCTACTAAAGAGGCGAATGCCTAATTGGCTGCTTCAATTGCTTGTGTGGTGTTCAAGTCATAAATTGGTATGTGCACCTAGGGTCTAAAAAAAGGGCATAAATAGCAATTTCATTTGTCTTTTTGAGTTATAAAGTTAAAGCTCGATTGCATAGATGATTCCGTAACTGTAATTGGCTAGCGATTTTGATTCTGGAAGTATGCAACATATTGTAGCTCTAACCTTTATATGTTCGTGATTTGATCGAGTGTGTTTCAATTCTGTGCAATCTTGGACCAAATGGTTGTTTCATTGATATTTGTCCTCACGTGCCTGGATGTCCGTCAACACATGTGATTATTACAGACTCATATCTAGTTTAACCTGGAGCAATAATGGCAGAATTTGGCACTTGAAGCAGTTAAATAAGCAGGCTAATGTTACGAATCCTTCTAATTACAGATAAAGGCACTTGTTTTAATTATTCACTTTGTAAACAAATGATTAAAGCAGGCGCATATTTTCTCAATTGGGAGTGTCTACCTATTTCGCCGAGCAAACCAAAGCAATGCCTTATACCCTTTAGAAAGCGTAATATGGTAAAAGCTGTCGCCATCTCTGTGGCGCCTTCTTCATCAGAAAATGCAGAAAATAGGCAAAAGTTATCTCAAGTGTATGGTTTTCGGCAAATTGGAGAACCCCTTCCGGATAATGTGACATTGAGAGATATTATTGATACCCTGCCAAAGAAGGTACCTTAATTCCGTGTTAACCTCTTATATGAACCCATACATCTGCCTGTCCCATATTCTCTGGTGCTCTTAGGGAAAAACATTGTCTTCTAGTTTTTAACAATTCCACAGTTGAAGAAATCTAATTTCCTGTGCATTGACATGAAAGGTGTTCGAGATTGATGATATGAAAGCTTGGAAGTCCGTGTTGATATCTGTAACTTCATATGCTTTGGGGATATTCACGATCTCGAAAGCTCCATGGTATCTGCTTCCTCTAGCTTGGGCTTGGACTGGTACAGCGATTACAGGGGTTAGTTTGATACTTAAAAAAGTTATATATGCTATGCACTTCTAAAGAGCCTTCCTTCTTTTTATCCTTTTCTTTTTCTTTTTGTTTTCCTTCTTCTTTCCTTTTTTAATAAACTAAAACAATATTCTGTACCCCAGTTTACACAAATACAACTATCTTTCAATTGCTTAATTGTAGCAAATGAGAAAAACTAACAAGTTCGTGTAGTTCTTTTAAATTTGCTTTCTAGTTTAGTGCCATGCATTTTTTTCATGTCATCCAAGTTCTGTTCATTTGATATAATGGGTACCATCATTTATTGGGTTTTGATTTTTTTTTTTTTTTTTGCTCTGAAGTTCTTTGTAATAGGACATGATTGTGCGCACAAATCATTCTCACGGAACAAATTGGTGGAAGATATTGTTGGGACTCTGGCCTTCATGCCTCTGATATACCCCTATGAACCATGGCGTTTTAAGCATGATAGGCATCATGCTAAAACAAACATGTTAGTTTTTTTCCTTTTTTTTTTTTTTTTGGTACAATCTTTGAGATTCTTCATAATTATATTAGAATATCGATCTATCTCTATTTCCACCCATATTGACCATTTGATAGTAATAATAGTGAACGCCGAACTTTCATATTGAAAACCAAGTGAAAGTAGAATAAAAAAATGAGGGGATTATAGAAACAAATGGATAACCTACTAATTTTCCTAACATTCATATATAACTGAAATATAGTTTTCTTGTTGTTTATATGGCTGCCTGGCATCAAGGTACTTGGATATTAGAAAAAAAGTTTTAACCAGTAACCACGTAACATTGTCTGTTACATTCATTTAAGGTTGGAAGAGGATACAGCGTGGCACCCTGTCAAGAAGGAAGAATTTGACTCCTCTCCCTTACTTCGGAAGGCAATCATATATGGATATGGGCCGTTTAGACCATGGATGTCAATAGCTCACTGGTAATGTGCAGTAAATTGCTATTTAGTGTAACTCTATTTTCTCCTAGGTTTAAGCTCTGCATGTGTTCTAACTGCATCTTGAAATAATGCTTTGCAGGCTGATATGGCATTTTGATTTGCAAAAGTTCAGACCTAATGAAGTGACTAGAGTGAAGATAAGCTTGGCTTGCGTGTTTGCTTTCATGGCAATTGGATGGCCATTGATAATCTACAAAACCGGGATTTTGGGATGGTTCAAATTCTGGTTGATGCCATGGTTGGGTTATCACTTCTGGGTATATTTTGCTACACTCTCTCCTTTTCTTGTTGAAATTGTAAAATTCGAGCTGCCAGTGGACTCAAAGGATATGATTTGATTATCACTAAAAGCTAGTGAACGAGTGGCTCACTGGAAAATTGAATGACATAGTGCCTCAACCGTTATCAGTTGTTAAATGGGAATCAAATCTCCATTATGTTGTCACTTTCAGTTAATTGTTTCATGCAAACTATATAACATATATATTGACCAGTCATTCAAAACTTAATATCCTTTTATTTCCTTCGGACTTTGCAGTGATTGTCCTGCCACAAAGCATTCTCCTGTTTCAGCATAGCTTTTTCGTTTTCTATATATTATTTTCTGTGTTGGTGACTCTTTGACAGACAATTAACATGTTTCTGGTTGGGGAATATTTTTCTACAGATGAGCACTTTCACGATGGTCCATCACACTGCTCCTCATATACCCTTCAAGTCCTCCGAAGATTGGAATGCTGCTCAAGCCCAGCTCAATGGCACCGTTCACTGTGATTACCCGAGTTGGTAAAGATTTAATTTGTTTTTGCACATTTTTTAAATTTGGGAAATTCTGAAGTGATATTATGGAAAATATGGGTAAATGCTTATTCGGCAATTGTAGCTTGTGATGACCATTGAGTGCCTTTGCTTAGGCATTTTCACTCGAGGCCAATCTTCTAATTCTACAAGAGTCGGAACTTTATGATTTTAACCTACTCTTATATTGGGTTATTTTTCAGAATTAGAAAACAATGCCATCGATGTATTCCTCTTTTCAAAATTTCACCAGCATAAGGCAATTATTTTGGAATACAAACGTCAAGCGATGTTTGTTAAACGTGACGGGTGGTATTTGTAATTTTTGAAGATGAGTTGACCTTTTATTTTCTACCTTATCATCATTCTTTTTAATTAGGTTAGTTTTACTCTAGTAATTATCTTCCATACTCATTTTATGCAGGGCATAGTCGAATGTCCCAGAAATTTCAAAGATTTGTAAAACTGTTGTCCGCTTTTTTTCTATATGTCCCATACTCATTCTTTGTGTGAGATGTTGAGTATTAAGATAAATGCAACTACTAAATTAGGTTGCAACTTTGAGCTGTGAGGTTAAAGTAATTCACTGAAATCTTGTAAAGTATAAGGAATAAATTTAATTAATGCTATTTCTCTTGCATGTGGTTGAGTTTGATTTATCAATCTTGACAGGATTGAAACACTTTGCCATGATATAAATGTACACATTCCTCACCATATCTCCTCAAGAATACCAAGCTACAACTTGCGGGCCGCTCATAAGTCTCTTCAAGAGAACTGGGGAAAGGTACTCTCCATTTTTATTTATATTTCATTATCATTATTTCTAGTTAATAGCATCACACATCCTTTTAGTATAAAAAAAATATTTTGTAGCCCAAAAGGGATGACAAAAATGATTAAACTCACAAATTGCAAGACTATAAAATAGCAAAGAGATAAGTAGATCGCGATTTAGGGTCATTTCGAGAAATGCCTAGGTTTTAACCTTGTTGTAGAAAAAAATTATCTTTTCAAAATTACCTACTACCCCTCGTTAATTTGCTTTTATTCAATATTAAAAATGTATATATTAAACAAATATTGTGTAATTATTTAAGAAAATATGTAGAGTATATTCGACATTATATTAAGCATTAATAATGTAAACTTTGCTAAAATCTTTCTTATTGTTTTCTTTTATTTTTTCCTTTTATTTGTTTTTGAAGGTCTGTACTTAACAATTTAATGTATAAAATTTATTATTTTTAAGCTTATAAAATATTATAAATGTCTAATTTTAAATATGATGTTTGTATACAAATTACTTGGATGTACTTATAAAATTAATTATTTTTTGAATCTTATAAATTTTTAACATCATATTTTTCATATTGTTCGGTAATTGATTAATGCTTAACCATCAAGTTTTTCTTCTTCTATTATAACTCAACTACATGAAATATTATCCATTGATAATTAAACTTTAATTTTTGATAAATTTATTTACTTATGCGACACAGGTTTTTCATGGAAAATATTTTTTTTCCAGATTTTTTGATTTATTTAATTTCTTTTTTTCAACATATGTATGAGTGAAGTAATATACAATTTAACTATTTATATGTATTATATATTTCAATGATTACTAAATGGCATAATTTTCAATTATGATACTTCACTATGTTATTTTTTATTTATTTATTTTTCTTTAAAAAGACACATACCTAGGATTATAATTTCTTATAAATTGAATAGTTTATTTTATATATCGACGTTTTTTCATGTGAAATTTATAATTCTTGATTTTGCCCTACTATCAAAATACTACTCATATCAACATATATGTCAATCCATCAATATCATTATTATTACAAATGATATATTCAAAGATTTATATTTTTCTTATGGTAAATCATACATTATAAAGTTGACCTTATATTTAATCAAATGTTATCAATATTTTAAATAATTCATTTAATTAATATGATTTTAACATAACCATTCTAATTTATGCTTTTGGATTTGAAGTGCTTTTCATTGCTGACCATAACTAAAATAATCAATATAGAATAATAATATAATTAAAAGAATCACTTATCGAAATTATAATGGATAAATTCATTTAATTGTCTCAATTAATAACTATGAAATTATTTTAAGATCTTATTGAAAATATATGTTAACCCAATGTGTAATATGTATACATACATACATACATATATATATATATATAAATTTATTATCCGGTTCAGCAATTGACCCGATGACCCGACGGTTGACCCGGTGACCCGGTGACCCGGAGACCTGCCCGGGTCGATTTTCGGGCCGGGTTTAAAAACTATGGTCTCTGGTGAGACTTTTATTTTTATTTTAGGTAATGTGATATCAATAATTTGGTGTAAATCTTTTAGTTAACATTTTTTTAAAATTTTCAATTAATGATTTTATTTTCCTTAATCTAGTTTATTTATATTTTTAGTGAATTTTAAGCTTAAAAAAATCAAACTATTTATAATATATGACAAACCAATGAGTCATATGTCAAACAACAATTGTTAGCTTAAAAACAAATCAAAATACTTATATTTTATATTGTTATAAATTTTAATGATAAATGTTGAATTGCCATTGGAATTATTAGATTAGATAGAAAATCAAAATATTTATAATACATTATTATAAATTATTAAAAAATATAATATTGTCAAATACATAATTAAAAACTAATAAATTTTATAACTTTAAAATAACATACATTACATTATACCTAAATTAAGTGCCAATTTCTAATATGTACCACGATTTTTCAACTTTACAATCATTTATTTAGGAATCAAAACAATATATTGTAATAAGGTATATATATATATATGTGTGTGTGTGTTGTGTGTGTGTTGGTGTATAAAAATGTTCGTATTTACTGTGAAAAGTAATAGTTCCCACCAAAAAGTTTATTATTTTCCATTTCCGCTATTTTTCTCCTTTCGATCTATCTAATTCCTTTTTAAGAGATAGACTCAATAGAAAAACATTCGAAGTGCCTTTTATGTCGTAATTCAATACCTAATTAAGAAAATCGAAATAATTAGAATAAAAAGAATGGGAATCGATGCAATTTTCTTTGATCTTGACGGGGGAACTTGAGTAATGAGTAGTTTTGGGGTCCATCGTGTGGGCTCATAATAAATTAAAAGTTGCTCCTGCTACTCAGCCGAGAGCCTTGTCCTCCTCGTTCCGGACAACACGTACGAAGAGACCTGCCAACAGTCAAATAATTAGTAAATTTTTGAGAGATTTCACTTAATTAGGATTTTTTTTTAAAATATTTTTTTGTCCTATTTTCTTTTGGTAATTTTTTTACGGTAAGAGACTTTTATCTTTATTTTAGGCAATATAATGTCAAATAATTGATCTACACCTATTGATTGAACTTTTCAAGATATTTCTATCAGTTATTTTATTTCTACCTAATCTAATTTGTTATTTTATTTCTACCTAATCTATTTTGTTTTTATTTTTAGTGATGTGATGTTAATAATTTGAGATTTTGTAAGTATTCTAATGGGATAATTATTTCTAGAGTATTAATAAGCGCATTAGTTAATATTGCATACATAAAGTGAACTTGAATTTATTATTTGATACTGATATAAAAATGTAAAAATAGGCTAAAGTTATCCATACAGTAAAATTTAAATGTATGTATGATAAAATATATTTGGATTAAAATTATATAAACAATAATTTATGTTTGTAATGCTAAAAAATATAAAGCTATAAGTAAATAATTAATTTGAGAATCGACTATATACAATATTAAAATGATAAATCTGTCACGTAGATTATAAGATCATAAGAGTTTAAAATATTTATAATATATATTATCATAAACTATGTTAACACATTGAGTCACCTGTAGAACTATATGTAAATTATAAGCTGAGAAAAATAAGTTCAAAAATTTTATTATATATACTGTTACAAATTATGATGACAAACAAACGAGCATGTAAATTATTAACTTAGAAAGAAAAGAAAGTACATATAATGTATAATATTATAAATTATAATAATAAACAAACAAGGTATCTTTCAAACAACTTGTATATTATTATAAATTATAATGATGAATCAACCGGTGTCGAACTAAAAAATTATTAAACTGAAGAGAAAATTTTAATTTTTTAATAATATTCATTACCATAAATTATAAAAAATAAATAAATAATTTTGACATAATTAAAAATTACTAAATTTTGTAACTTTAAAATAATATATTAATAATATTTGTGATAATTATCAACTTTATTTAGGAATCAAAATAGTATATTCTAATAAAGTTTGAAAAGGAGAAGGGAGAGAGAATATGTTAAATTTTCATGTTCTTTATCCTTAATTTCCTTAATTTTAAACATGAACTCTAAAATAATTCCTAAAATGACAGTTACTTTATAATGAGTTAAATAAGCATATAAATCATTTATTAAATTATTATATATCATAAGAATAAAAGGAAAGATAAAATTCATATTTTTATTCAAAATTGTTTTTATACTAATAAAAATTCATTCACTACTTCAATTTATAATAATTTATATGATTTATCATTATTGCTTTGTGCATCGCACGAACTACACACTAGTAAGTAGTAATAGATCATATTTTTAAACTATTATGTATCATAAAAATAAGGGAGCGGCTACGGTACCGTCACGGTACCATTCCGTTATTTTAATATAAGCCATGGGATGTTGGTAGTTATGATTAGCCATTAGATTTAATAGTGATACACATTAACACCATGTACTTTATTGTAGACAATTGTTTTCTTAATAAGTTAACAACATAGCACTACAGTTAGTGGGCCGCACTAACTATTATATAAAGCTTTTATTATTTTTCTCTTTTAACATAGATTTCTATATCTTATCATATTCTATATATTCAGTATATCATGATCATTGTATATTTTTCCATAAATTAATTCCTTAGCATCAACAAATAGATTATAAATAAACTTGTAATGTAGTAAAACTAACAAAATTGTTATGTTAGATCTATTTATCTATATTTAGATTTATATCTATATAAAAATATTGTTGGAAAAATACCATTAGAGTAAATTTGACTAAAAAATAAATGGTTTGACTTACTATTAACGAAAATTTCAAAAGAAAAAAAACACATGTGAATATTTAAGAATCAAATTTAATCATATTGTTAGACAATTTGGCCAGATTTTCGTTTTCAATTATTTAAAAAAGGAAACTAATTTCAATTTATTTCTTAAATACGAATCCCAGGGGAGTCCATCTTTTTAACAAATTTGGAGATTTTTAAGTCAAAAATGTGTTAATTATTTATGAAAACAAATTCAAATACAATTTAATTTAAAAACTGTTCGTATAAATTTTGTTTTTCTACCAAAATTCGTATACTTTTTTTTTGTAACAAATTTGGAGACTATGCAAAAAATGTGAGATATTGACTTTCAAAAAATTGAGATTTCCAATTTAGATATCCTAACAATAACGGATCTTCAGTTTTTTTTTCCCATTTCAATTTAATGTTATAAATCAAACAGAAAAAGATTTCGAGAATATTGGATACTATACTAAATATTGATTAACTCCAATCCTACATGAATTATTTATATTTATGAATTCAGTGTGTAAATATATTAATTTGCTTCTCATAATTAATCATAACTTACGTTATTTTCTGGCATAACTCCTAACTTCTATTTTTTTTTTTTGCTATTTATATTCTTCATCTGAAATAATATATGACTTATTTGACTACAATGTGATTCCAAAAAAATAATAATTTTGGTAAAATTTTATCTTATATTTAAAAATTTATGTGAATAATAAAGTATAAATACAAAACTTATATTGTTCCATTAATTAAAATGAATCTATTTTTGTATAAACTATCCGAATTAAAAAGTTTTAGTAATTGAGTAATATATAAAACTATATAATTGACTATATCATTTACGTCCAAGTTAAAAATGGCCCTTAAGGTGTGAATAATTAATTATTTCACTTTTAAATTTGGAACCGAAATTTAGACTACACAATAAATTCCTTTATGTATTTCCTACACACACACACATATGTATTATCTCGCAATTTTCTAAATTTGTTGTCAGTTACCTTAAGAATTTATTAACCAATTCTCTTGAATTAAATAATAAATTTGAAGTTTTATTAACCAATATTTTTTCAATGATCGTCAGATTTTCAAGAAGAATACATACCAATTTGTCAAATTATCATCAATATCTTATGTCAAGTTGTTATGAAAATATGCTAATATTTGAAAATCATATCACCTTGATTTTATAACAAATCAACTTAAAATTCGACTTTCTTACCCATACCAAATAAAATTCATACTACTTTTTTGGTTTCAAATTTTTTTAAATACACTTCTATCCATAGCAAATAAAATTCATACTATTTAAATTCCGACATTTCATACAAAATAAAATCGCCACTTTATACAATAAATTCAGAAATTTACTAATAACAACTCATTTCCTAACAAAAATAAAATCGCCATCAAATACTTTAAATAAAATTTCACACTTTATACGAAAACTAAATTTATTAATTTTGTCAATTTTATACCAGAAACTGATTAATTAATTTTTAAAGATGAGATTTTTAAAAAATCTTTGAAATATATTAACAAATTTAATAATTTTAAATTTTTTAGGCGGAATTTTGGTTTTAATTTAAATAAATAGAAACCGAATGTGTTGATTTTGGATTTATCAATATTTTACTCAAATTTAGCAAAAACTCTTGCAATTTTGATTTTAAATTTACTAGTGTTCTCTTTAAACATAAAAATTGTTCAAAAATTCCTTTGTGATGCTAAACTAATATCCGTTTGTGCAATTCCCTAAAACATGTTATTGTTAAGAAATTGTTCAATTCAATAAAACATGTAATTATTAAAAATAAAAATTAGTAAAATAAATAAACCATATATTGTTGAAACTTAATCATCACTAATTAAGTTTGTTCAACTCGCTCTAACCTATTAGTATCCAACAATAAAAATTAATAAAAGATATGTGATGCTATTTTCTAGGTAAAAAACTTTTCACAAATAAATCAAATTAAAAATACTTAATTATTTATACTATATTGCAAATAAAACATACTTTATTGTTTTATATTAATTATTTCATTCATTACTTTAAGAATAAATGATTGAATAAAAAATATTCAAATTTATAATAAAAAAATGAAAATAAGTATTTGACATTATTATAATTCTAAGTTATTTGGTTTCCTTAAAAAAGTAATGTCTATCAGAGCCTAATTACAAAGTATGAGATGTTGTCTCGTAACATCTTGAAACGTGCGGGTATGACACTTAAATTGAGCAAATTCAAAAATTTTATATATAAATAAATATCAATCATTTTATTAATGAATGAATTACAAATTAATGTTTTCTATTTAAATGTTATATTTCGTTTAAATTATTTGATATTATATTATCATCAGAATACATAGTAGCATAAAACAATGCAAGTGATTTACTTATGAGAATTATAGTGTGTATGAAAGCCCATAATAAACCAATGAAGTGGCTAAATCCTATTGGCTTGTATTTAAGGATATGGTTCCGTTGAAATGAACAACGGGACTTTAGACTTTTCCTAAAAATAAAAGTTAAGAGAAAGATTAATATTAATATTCAAAACACATTATATTAATAGACGGTCTTTGTCTTTTTTTTGTTTTTACAATTTATCATTATTGTCTCGTGCATCGCACGAGCTCCGTACTAGTTAATAAATAATAACCATTGACTTTTTTTTATGAAATTTGCTAAAAAATAAGAGTTAATTATATGTCCCATGTAAACGAACAAAACCATGTTAATTATGGTAATATAAATTAATCCATTATCTATATTTATATAAAAAGGTTATTGGGAAAATATAGAAAGTTTGACATTTTAATTAATCTGTTTGACTTACTAATTTAAGAAAATATGTTAAAAAAAACACGTGTAATTTGAGTAAAAAAATGAGATTTTAAAATCAATATTGAAATCAATTTATTAACAAAAGAATCGGGAGGATGATGTTGAATTATGTAGGAGGATAATGTAGATGATTCTTCTCGGATTGAAAGGTCACATGTGAGATATATATACCAAGAATCTTTAATTATAATTGTAGGAGATCAAAATATACCAATGTAAATGTAATATCAAGCCATTTAAAAAAAATTCGTTATAAGTAATTTAAACGTTCTTGATCAGTTCTAAATTATTATATACAATAAATCCTTTGTACTATTTATATATATTAATAGATATTATATATGTATCTATATATCTATATTTATATGTATCTATATCTATATAATTGTAATAAAATTGTTGGAAAAATACCTAAATAGTAAGTTTGGCTGAAAAAATAAATGGGTATACTTAATAATCTAGGATTTTTTAAGACCACGTGATTAATAAATTTCAAGATATTCTGAAACAAATTTGGTTGCATTTATTTAGAATATAGAAATGTTAACCTCTAAATATTAGATGTTTTGTTCTTGAATAAAAAAATACGTAATTATTCGAAAATGAGTTATACATTCGAATTCGGAAAATTTTGACACATATTAAACAAAAAATAAATAAAATTAACTTTTGGGATTCACATAATCATAACCTTCCTAATAACTATTTTTGAAATATCTTTAATTTAAGAGATAAATATATAATATTTGAAATTTACTTACAAATCCCCAAAATCAGAATCAAAACAACATTGTTATATTTCATATTATCTGTAATAAAAACAATGAATATATCCCATAATATTGTTGAGAATCTCAAATCCCAACAACCGGAAAATAAGTTGAACATAGATAAAATTTTAGGGATGTTCATTAAAATCTAATATTTTTTTATAATGTTGATTTAAAATAACAAGTATATAAAAGATAAAGTATGGATTCTAAAATCTGAACCATCAGGACCAATTAGACATGCCAATCCAATA